TATCTGGGACTACAGGCACATACCACCCCACCTAGCTAATTTAACAGAAAAATTTATTTATTTGTTTATTTTTTGTAGAGATAAGATCTCACTATGTTGCCCAGGCTGGTCCTGAACTCCTGAGCTCAAGTGATCCTCCTACCTCGGCCTCCTAAAGTGCTTGTATTACAGATGTGAGCCACTACACCTGGCTGAGAGGATGCATTTTTGAGTCTCTCAGTGTTAGTTTAATTCCCCTTGCTTTTAGGAACTTGAACAGGTCATTACATTTTTGAAAGTTTCTCTATTCATCCATACCTTGATGACCTGACCACATATTACCTTGACTTTGAGGCTGTCTGACTGGCAAAGGCTACCACAGCCTGCCTACGGGAGGGGGCAGACGTCATCCCTGCCTCTGCCTTTCTCTCTCCAGCTCCCTTGCACTTACATGAACCGAAGGTTTCCTTCTCTCCCTAGACCTCTACGAGCATAAGTTCATCAACTGTCAGTTTATCAACTCCACCTTTCTGGAGCAGAAGGAGGGCTGCCACATGGACTTGGAGCAAGATAATGACTTCCTGATTTACCTCGTCAGCTTCCTGGGCAGCCTGTCTGTCTTACCCGGAAACATCATTTCTGCCCTGCTCATGGATAGAATCGGAAGGCTCAAGATGATTGGTGAGTTGTCAGCAGGGTCACTTCTGGGCTCCAACACGCTGGGGTAGTGACTTTCAAGTGTATTAAAACAGGGAAATTTTCCCTTTTATTAAGTAATTATTGCACAATAAACCCAGCAAGTAAGATTGCACATGGGGCTATAGAGCCAAGGATGCGTGCCTATAGAAAACTCCAGAGCTCCTTGGAAATAGTCAAGACTCTTTGGTCTAGGCGAGGGATTTTTGTTCGTTTCCTGACAGAGAAATTCTGTGACAGTCATTTAATCTATTAGCGCTTCAATAAGGGTAGTAATAATATCCACCCTGCCTCTTCATCAGATTATTGTCAGAAAAATATATAAAATGGTCCTGGATGATGGTTTGATGTTTGAAGGTAAACTGTATTACTTTTATTATTTAATAGCAATACCACTTTAGGCTTTGGAGTTGGACAGAGCCATGTTGAAGACCTCACCGAAAGGCTGTTTGACCTTGAATGTGTTCCTTTACTTCTCTGGGCCTCAGTTTCCTTATTTATAAGAGAACGATTTCCACATGTAGCTGGTAGGGTTTTGTGAGAATTGAACATAAGGTGCCTGTAATACTTGGCACGTTGTAGGTTCTCAAAAATGGTAGCTATATTCATGTATGCCTTGCCTCATTCCATCGGGACTTGTAGCAATTCATTACAGAAACACATGCTATGAATGGTAAACAAGAAGCAAAATGTACACATTGAGGACCAGGGAAAATGTACCTTAGAATATTAGTCAAGGCCAGGGGTGGGGAAGTGGACAACATGTTATTAATAAACGTGCCATTAGGGACCTGCCTTAGGGAGGTCGTTGATTAGGAAAGTTATTATGAAGATTCCTAGCAGCAACATGCAAAAGGAAACAAAATAAATCATAAAGCCATTTTGTTGGAGAAGAGGAATTGATCAGGTCTTCATGGAAAGGAATTCTTTTCCTGGCATTTGGCTCATACTGAATATCACTATTATAAATAGTAGCATGCATATTCAGCGTGGTGAGCATGAGGAGTGCCTGTGACTTCAGCTTTTTAATCTCGTGGTGAGGGTGGAGTCATCTCTTAGGCACGGCAGACTTCATGCTCTCCTCTCTTAGAGGGAGTGCCTGGTTAGTCCTGAGGCCCTATGGAGGAAGGGACAATGGCTTACTCATTTCCGTGACCCCTGTGTCCAGCACAGTGCCGGCAGTAGAGCTGACACTCAGCAATGCCACTGAACTGACTAGAACAGATGAAGATGGCCTCTTTCCTAGGTTAGCTCCAAACACCAAGCTTTCAGCAGAAGACACTACAGGTTGTCATCTTAAAAAAAATTTTGGCTGGGAGTCAGGTGGCTCCATCTCTGCCAAGATTAGCTTTATGTGTTGACCCAAGTCAACTTCTTTGAGCTTCCATTTCCATTGTTAAAATAATACCTCTGTTTGCCTCAATGAGATAGGGGTATGAGAGCAGACGTGTGACACTTCTGCCATTTGTCACCAGCCTTATGAGTCCGAGTTTACCAGTGGAGTTTCTGGTCTGTTCATGAAGCAGCTGAGGAAGTTTTGGGGGAGGCAGGGTTA